GCTTTTTAACAACTTCTATTGTTACCATGGTTAAATGGATAGCTAAGTATTATTTCATAATCCTATTTGACCCATGATACTATTTGACCAAATGTTCTAAAATCTTTTGATATTTTGGACAAATTTCCCCAAATCCAATTCTAAATAGTCTTTTTGACCTTGAACTAACTTTGGGTTTTCTTGAAATTTTCTAAAACATCACAATAGATTTGTTCTTTCTCCTTATAAAAAGAGAGATACTAAGCCCCTTAGGGTTATTCAATATGTTAAATTACATGAGAAACATTTTCAAATAAGTGAAAATAAACCATCTAAGGTTTTGTTATGCAGGTGAATGTTATTAACATAAATATTTTAGAAATTATGTGAAGTTCCTGGAAATCTGGTGTCTTGGTAAAATGTTATTGGCCATGATTCCAATTATCTTAAAATATATGGAAAACCAAATTTTCTTGTCAACTCCATCATAATGAACTTGCATCATATCTTTAATAATGGACATTTTAAGTCTTTTCATTTATAGGGAGTAACGTTTTTATTCAGATACTTTTACAAAATGTACCTACAGAAGTGATTTGTTTTCAAAGAGATTCATGGAAAGAACTCAGAAAAAAGTGCTGGTTTCTGATAACTTTGAGACCATAAAATTAAACTGGGTAAAAATTTCCAGAACTAATGTAAAAACTAGATTCAAGCAGAACAAGAATAACATGGCATTGAATGAATGGAGTAAGATTATTATAATTTTTATGACTCCTAGTTTTCAAATATTACTAGTCCTTCAATGTTTTGCTTGCTACATTAAAAGGACCCCCTTTTCTCCTCTCTTTAAAGCTATTCTCCTCTCTTTAAAGCTATATGAAATACAGCACTTTGGTAAAATATAACTTTGTAAACAGTGATGAAATATTTACTTTTTCTCCCTACCTGATCCCTCCAGAATTTGGAAACTCTTGAGTACTTTTTCACATGGCAATATACGTTGGTTATTTGCATAAATTCAATGAGAATCTGTTTTCCTTGTAATAATAAATAGAAATATTGGCTACTTTACCAAGGCTCTGATTGGATTATTTTCAGAGAGATGTACATAGACTCAGATTTTACAGGACAGTTTTTAAGGAACAAAGGCTACTTTATGGAGCCAATAAAGCTCCTCAGAAAAATCAAATTGGCACCTTGCTTACAAAGTTCTAGAAAAGCAGTTTTGAAAAGTGCTTATATGGTGAATTACTACTCTTGCTACACTTGAGGCAGGCCAAGTTTAATGCACACAAATTAGATATACTGTGATTATCTTTGGTAAAAATCAGGGTAAGTATAGAGAGAAAATTTATGTTTGTACCTTCGTCTGTATGATATTCTAATCCTGTTAATAAACTGTAATAGATCCCAAATTATTCTGGTTTTCTCAAGTATCTGCCTACCATACTCCCAACTAATGTTTCCATTTTTTCCCCCATGCTTCTGATTTGGAACAAAAACTGCCCTTGAACTTCTTTGAAAGGAACTATACCAGGTCCTCCTCATTACCCAAATGATAGCCAGACTTTGGGGGCTTGAATCTTGGACATACATTCCACAGCTAAAGATGGCTGCACCTGACATCTGGTCTTCCAAACCCTGGAGATTTTTCAATCAAATGGATAAGAAAGAGAAGTAGTTGACATTAAGGCAGATTGCTTCCACTCAAGACATCACATCAAGACTTTATATTTCAAATATTAAAGTCTGTCTTTTCCCCCTTATTGCCTTTATCTTGGCATTCTCCTGGAAAAATAAAGTCATCACCTGTATCTCCCAGACCATTGCTAAGGGTGATAAACTCTGGAATTTAGAACATTATTTTTTCAGGCAAAGAGAAAACCTGACTGATTCCTGACCTCTGATGTATTTAGCTGGTTACTTTCAGGTCTGGGTTCTTCATGTAGGATCTTATACAAACTAGATTTAATTTTTTTTAAATCTTATTTATTTAAGAGATAGAGAGAGAGAACACAAGCAAGAAGAGGGAGAGGGACAAGCAGACTCCCCATTGAGCATGGAGCCTGATGTGGGGCTTGATCTCATGACCTGAGATCATGATCTGAGCCAAGCCAAAATCAAAGAGTCAGACACTTAACCAACTGAGCCACCCAGGTGCCTCCACAAACTAGATTTATTATTATGCTTCTCTTTTTGTGTTGTACAATACTTTAAAAATTTTGTGCTTGTTGCCTGTCAAACCCTTGCAAAAATAAACTATCCAAGAGGATGATGTTGGTTCAATGTTTCAAGATGATCTCTAAAGCTTATAGCTTTGATAAGAGGTAGTCCTTAAATGGGAAATGCTTGAGAGCTCTCTATTCTATTCCTTGTTACTCATATGTGGCCTTAAACAGTTTCCAATAACCATGCTCTTTCCTTCCACAGTGGGATATGACAACCAGGAAAGGTCCTTCCTGGCACCAAGGGACAAAATCACTAAATACAGAAAACTGATTCTTGATTGACAGTGCTTTAAAGAAATGTTTAAAATAGTACCTTACAACTTCCTCTTTTCCTTCCAGGCTTGCATATCTGGAATTGCAATTCCCAAATAAACTCATTTGCTACATGATAACCTTGGTTTTTTAATTTAATTTTTAAGGTTGACACTATATATTAGATCTCTGCTTGGAGCTGAGAATGCAAGTCTAGTAAGGAATCTGGTCACAGAATAAAGGAATATCAATATTTTCTGTATACTCTCCTGAAAGTAAGAATTGATGTTATATCATTTTGACTAGTCAACACTTTGCTCTATTTATTGCTAAAAATGCAATGTTTTCTTGGAGATTGGCAACATGAAAGAACTTTTCCCCAGGTATAACATTTACTAGCCCATTTTTTATGTATATACAAAGTTGAGAGAATATTGTTATTGTGTATAGATTCTGGGGAGTGTATATGGTCTAAAGGGAAGCTATCTTCAGGAGCCCAGCATAGAAATCTGCTTGTAAATGGCAAAATGCCTATGTTGGCCACTGTGTGGTAAAGCTGATGGGGTGGGAATTGGGGGACTAGCAAGTAGTTTGAGATAAACAAAATTTATCCAGCATGAATTAAAGTGGAAGGAGGCAAGTCAGGCTCTTTGTCAAGGACCATCCACAAAGTACAAATATATCATATTAAAATTTATCAGCATTTGCATCTTGCAGTAATTTTTCTGAATACCATCTATGAGATATCTGCCACATAACTACAGTTGCACACAGACTAAGGAGAGTGGTACTAAAAAGTCTGTCAAGAAAATGCAATATCTCAAAGTGTCCTCCCACCTCCCAATTTTACACATCTAGCAATCATGCAATAACCATAGTAATTAAAGAGCTAACTACTCAGGGCTGTTGAGTTTTGACATCTTTCCATTACCAGTAAATGTTTTGATAATACCATGGTTATATGTTGGGATACTAAGCAGCAGGAAAAAAGCATCCGATTAAGGAATATGGTACCAGTTGCCATAGGGAATATATGAAAAAGGAATAGTTTTTCTAATGCTCCAAGTGATCCAATATGATTAGATTTCTTTTCAGAACTTATGATTATATAGCTTTGGTTCCCTTGAGGCTTAATTTTACATTTAGGTTTTTACTATATTTTGTCAATGTTGCCCCATGTATTAATTTCCACCTTCTTTCCTTTGTATTAACATAACTTATTGCTTTCAGGACAAAAAGAAATGTATACACAATGATCCTCTACTTTGGGTTACCTAAAGAATAGAAAAAAAATTATTTGTCCCCTAAAAGGCAATAAAAAAATGAAAAAAAAAAGATATCTGAATGTTTTTTTCTTTGTAGCCTAAAATTTAGGATAGAATGAAGTTTTTATCCTAGGCCACAGGTTGCTACAACTGAGATGCATCAGTAGGAAATTTTGCCACATAATCATTGAGGTCAGATTCATCATTATTATTTTGTTTCTTGTCTGAAAGCTTACTAAAAATGACCAAATCTCTTTGGACCCTTTTCAGGGTAAAACTAGAGCTTGTTCACCATTGTAGTAAATAAAAACAGTTAAGTCTCACTTTTGGTACCTGATATATATTGCTGAGCTACAAGATTCATCTACATTCACAAAATGATTGATTTAGGAGTTTCCATATCTGAAAGGCTTCCATAGTTTTAGGAATATCAGCTAAGATTCCCAAGTTCTATGTAAGCATCACAACAGTACAAATATGCTAGAGAAATTTATAATGTATTATATCCAATTATGTCAGCAGGCTATGAATCATATCCAATTATCAAGATGCATAAGTGCCTTTTATGTGACGCTCAAACATCATTAATTTTGTGCTTAGCATAAGCTGCTCAAATGGTATGATTTCAGTAATTTCTAGCATCGATATTACAACATCAATATAAATTCAATGCAAATTGGAAAATGAACATCTTCATCTTGTTTATATCTGTGAAAAGGCATTTACTGAACACAGGAGCACACTGAACCAACACTTACTATTGGAAAAAAGAATCTAGAATGTATCACAGAGAACCTAATAATAGGAATCAGTACATAAGGCAAGTCCCAGAGAAAGCCTAGCTAATCAGCTAAAGCATTCTCACTCTCTTCAGGTAGTCACTCAAGTAAAACCAATATAATTGTTATAAATGTGAGAAATGAAGCAACCAACATTCTTACCTCACAACAAACTGAATTAATCAAATCCAACTCTCACCATAAATTGCTCATTTGTCTTAATATTTATAAAATGAATTCTTTGTCCTGAATACCTCAGTTTGGCATATATCTAAGTCAATTAGAAGTTAAAAATTTTTTTCTACACCTAGTTTTATAGTATGGCTTTTAATTAAAAATGTTTCACTTCTCACTTAATTTTTAAAATGTAGAGCTCAAAAAAAATAAATAAAATGTAGAGCTCCTACATACTACAGAGTAATATTTTCAAGTAATTATATGTCAATTTTGAATTCAAGCAATTAAAATTATTTTAAAAATCCATAGAAACTTACCTCAAAGTCAAGGTCTGAATATCGTGATTTTCTTCTCTGTTAGATTTTTTAAAAGGAGAAAAACCAATATAAAGTTATGTTAAGTCATTCAAATAAAATGAAAATTATTATCTTCAATAAAATGACCTGCATCGTTGTATTACAAGTATTTCCTTCACATAAGAATATGTCAAAATTTTTATGATAAAAATCATTTAGTTATCTCAAAATTTCCCACAAGTTTATCTCCAGTCTGCATTTCTACCAAAATTTCTCTGGCCTTCTGTTTGAGTCCTAAAGTTCTGTATCTCTCAACCACAGATTTTTTTTGGTATTTGATCATTTTCCATGATCGGAAAATCCTAATTTCTGGTTCTTAGAAACTGAAGTATGTATTCTAATTTAGTAAATAATAATAATAATAATAATAATAGTCCACACCCTAGTGAAACATGAATGCAGATGTCAATATCTCAATGTTCGTCTGTGGCTTCTCTGTTAATCAGCTCCTGGATCTAGTTATACATCAGTATGTAGACAATAAGCCTGATAAAATCAGGAAAAATTACTTAAATGAAATTAGTGTGATTCTATAAATATTAGTGTAGGAAAGGTACACTTAACATGTGCTAATAGGGATTTGGTATTGAAGGAGATATCCGGTAGATATAGAAAATGTCCTCTAAATTTTTAGAGAACAAAAGCAAGTTTCCCATGTGAGGTTTGTTTTGTTTTAATTTGGATTTTTTTGGAGGAAGTGGGGGTAAAACAAAAAATAAACATTAGAAACAAGTAATATTTAGGCAGTCGAATATGTATTCCTAAAGACAAACTTTTTTTTTTCTTTCTCTTCTGCTATCCCAATACCTACCTTAAGTTCAATAACCTAACAGGGAATCCTATCCATGATAGTTGATTCTTGTAACTGCTAAATACTAGACAGACAGGCAGAAATACCATTTATTGAAAAACATGTCAACATTTTTGTAGCTAAAGTTACAATGTCACTGTAGAACCAGAGCCTCCCTATGCAACCAACTCCCCAAAGCATGCTTTACTAGACAGAAGGGGATATATTCTAAAAGAAAGATTTTGTTTAAAAAACAATCTATAAATTTTGAAATTATTTTATTTTGGTGGAGCTGGATCACAGAGTCCAGTCTTCAAGGTATGATCAAGGAGAGCATTGAGGAAATTGCTTTATTAAATGGAAATAGCCCGTTGATATCACTTTGATCTTGTCTCTAGTATCATGGTAGCCTAGCCCTGGTGACATCTTGGAAGGAGACAAGTGTATAGGAAGGCATTTCACCCAGGCCTCCTTTGCCATCTCCCGCCACTATTCTTATCTAACTGTATTGTATAAAAATCAGGCTTCAATGTAGTGCATCACTCTTTGCTGCGATATGCTATACTGAATGTCAGTATTTCCATTCTGCTCTTGAATGCTTTGCCTTCTTGGCACTGTGACTCAGCAGGATACTTTGTAAGTATATGTTAAGCAAAATTATTTTCTTAATACAGCAAAATGCAAGAATGGGAACAGTTTTAAGCAATCATTAGAGAAGATTAATCATGAGCTTTGAAGTCCATTTAAAAATTAGTGAGATCTTATGAAAAACTTTCAGCTAGCCAGCAGAGTAAGAGGCCCTTCTGCTGCATGAATTGAGGGGTCCTATGCCAAAGGTCTTAAGAACCGTATGTTGCTCTGTTTCCGAATGTACAGCTGTGTAGCCTAAGAACTGGGAATGCTGATGGACGCATGTCACTAAAGGTTCCATATTTTAGGAACAAGAAAAAAGATGGAAACCTAGAAGAACAGCAGAAAGAGATTTCGCTTCTGACAGCTGATGTCACCTATGCACCTACACTGATATAAAATATGAAAAAAAATGGATATACTCCTACAAATAGATTTCCTTCCCTTCTAAGTCCTATAAAATTTAAATTCTAACATAAAGCTATAGCATAACTAGCAGCATTGAAGGATTAGACTAAGAAATAAACAAATGAAAGATTTCAGTCAAAAGAGCTTAAAGATGAAGGTGGCGGGGATGAGCAGTGAAGATTTAAAAATTAGAGAATGGGAAAAATATGGCAGTTTGTCCTATTATTTTGTATACCCATAATACCGGCCAAGTATGACCCATAATACTGACCAAGTGTATCAACCTTTCATAGTTTATAAAGTACTTTAACATTTGTACTAACTGCCCTGTGGGATGGTCAGAAAAGTACTTTTTATACCTATTCCATGAATTAGGAACAATGAGGACCAGAATAGTTAAAATAACCTGTTTACTTCACCTGGGTAGTAAGCAAATGAGTTGGGATTCACACTCAGATCTTCTGACTCCAAACCTTGTGTTTTATCCACTGTCTCTCACTACTAGCTCAGTGGTAAGAGTGGCAATATTTTATAGCCAAGATGCCTGTGATATTTTTGCTGATTGTTACTAGAAATGTTACCAGTGATTTAGCAAGAATAATATTTGAGGACCCAGTCAACCCAAGAGGACAGAGATGTCTTCTATCCATAAAGTAAGGTCAGGCAGATTAACTTTTATTCATCAATTATATTTTAAAAGAGAAAAAAAAATCAATATGATACTTATTTGAGATAAAAATCTAATGGCAATATAAAAGAATTTGTGTTGACTACAACAACTTAAAAACCATTCAAAAAAAAAAAACCATTCAAACATGAGATACTTTATGAGCAATGATACAATAACAAATAGGAGCCAACCTGTACCTCCATGATGTATCTTCCATTGCAAAATCTAGTTTCTCTTAAAGAGATATCTGGCACTGGGAAATCATGGTGTAATGCAAGAACCAGAGTGTTCAATTTTATCATCCTTGGTATACAGTGCAGTATGTTGGAAAGTCTTTCAAAGCATTTAAAGTTTGTGGAAACTGACTGACTTATGTGTTTATTCAAATGTCCCTCTGAGTTTTCTGGGAAGTTACTGTAAGGTATAAAACTGGTTAGAAAAAGCGGTTATATGTTTAAAAAATGAGATTCTATCAATAAAAATAAGTCATAACAATTTTTCTGATTAAGTTGATAACCGAAGAACTGCTACACTTAAATTTAAAATAAGCCAGGGTGGTATTAAAATATTTCATGAAGATAGGAATCCCTCTGTCTATACATCCCCAACTTCTCAAATAACTTGATACAAAAATAAAAATAAACCTTTTTGTCATAGTGGGTGATAAAAAGAAATCTTTTCAGTTCTTCTATGTGGTTTCCTTTTCCTAATTTTCCATTTAGAATTCACCCTAACTTGTATTCTATCCTCAACACTCTATTAAAATTCTTGTCAAGGTCTCTGATGAGCTCCATCTGGTCAATTCCCAGGGTCAACTTTCTGTCCTTATCTTGCTGGACTGTCAGAGGCTTTTGAAATTTAATCATTTCCTCAAGAAAGCACATGATCTTAGCTTTTCTTTATCCCCCTCCTGTTTGCTGTAGCTCATTCTGAAGTGTCCTTTGGTGGCTCTTCCTTATCTTACTGTCTTCTAAGTGTTGAGTTCCTGAATTATCTTTTTTACCTCTTGTCTCCTGGATGATAGCATTCATTCCATGGTGGTAAATATCATCTTTTAAGTTCCAAACACTCTTTTCTTCTTCATTACAGTCTTCCCCATTACAGAAAATGTCATATATCTAGTTGGTCAAGTCAGACTTAGACATTTCGTTCCCCCCAATCTCTCACCCTGCATATCAAATCCACCAGCAATTGGTATCTATTCACCTCTGAAATCTCTCTTGATCCACCTATTCTTGTCCATCTCACTTTCACATCTACAATCAAAGACAGTCTCCTATTCTGTCTGGATAACTTTGGTAGCTCCCTAACTGTCCTCCAACTTTCTGCTCTATCCCCTCTCCTAGTACCACTGGATTCTGATCCTTTCCCCCAAACCATCAAAGGGATGGATGTATAGATGGATGGATGGGTGGAGAAATGATCCTGACAATCTTTCACTTAATAGTCCTTGTTTACTTCAGTTGTTTTACAAGGCTCTCCAAAATCTGGTTTCTTCTTCGTATGACTGACAATCTCTTAAGGAGCTCACCAATTGTTACACAGGACTTCTAATCCTGTGAAAATATTCCAAACTCTTTTCTATCTCTGTATTGTAGTTTCTTTTGCCTAAGACATCCCCTCATCCTCCAGATAGGTCCTCATAAGCCGTGTTCCTTCTTAACTTTACCCCATACAGCACTTCAAGAGACTCAGACCACCTTATCAAGTCTCTCCCTCACATCCATGGTCCTTACCCAGTCTAATACACTCTTAGATTACTCATTTGTTACCAATTAATTCTATATGTTTTCCATAGGGTTTATTCACCACAGGGAGAGGATCCACATCTGTCTTGATCACTTTTTATATCTTCAGCATCTACCAAAGGGCCTGGCCAATAATTCACAAAATTATTGATGAATAATTGAAGAAGGTACACTACAACAGCTAAACAAGTCCAAAATAATGACTTACTTCTTGTTTTTGTTTTTTGTTGTTTTTCTCATTCTTTGGGAGAATATAGATAAGTAGGCAAACTAAATACACAAAGAAAACCATTACGAATGAATTGACAGCCAAAAGGATCAAGACAACTGAGGGGAATGCAGGCTTATCATTAATGGAAGTTAAAAAAAAAAACAGGGAAATTTAAGAGTAAGGAAATGCACAAGAGCATGAGGCTATACAGAGGAATGCTTAGCAACTTTATGCATTGAGGCATCTCTCCATATCTAAATCCTCTAAAATGATGAATAGTTTCTCAAAGGGAATAATTCATTGTTTGTGTCACTTAAATTAAACTGGACCAAACACTAGAAAATTTGCTGCAAGGAATAAATTGCAGTGACTAATAAATGGCAGTATGATATGACTGCCATTAAAAGTTTTATTACAGAGTGAACAATGAACACACTCAATGAGAAAGCTTTGATACTAAATCCATTCAAAATATCTGTGAAAATAAAACCTGAGGATAATTAATTTTGAAAAATGACTTATTGCAGCTAATTTTGTTTGCATGCTTGCATAAAAGACAAAATTCTCAAATCTAGGAGCAAAAACAAAACACCAAAGAAGAACAAGCCCTCCTCTCACCACAGCTATGTGAGAAAAAAATGTAAAAAAAGGAAAAGTGACTTCTGCACAATGATCAGTTCTATAATGGTTCCTGTTAGAGTCTCCAAGCTCCCAAGTGAGGCTATAATATTTTGCCTAAGCCCTAAATACTGATTTAGCAGTACAGCATTGAAGCTTCTTTGCAGAAATTCAAGATATAATGGTAATGAAATAATAACAACACAAACTTACATCTAAAGTGCTTCTTATAATTCTCAAAGGGTTTTCACATACATTATCTAATTTGGTCCTCACCAGAGCTTTATGGGAGGTAACTGTGATGTGACATTATAGCTAACATGTTTTACCTTTAAAAACCATTATGGTGAGAGTTCTATAATTCATGTATAGAAAACTGGAGTATAAAAATAGAGGCTAGAATGGTGTCCCTTTCTATCCATTTACAAATTGAGGGAGACTTATCTGACAATGTTTTCAGATATATAGTTAAATTTATACTGAAAGGGTCAGAAAAGCTAGAGTAGCAAAACTTTCTGCTCTTGATAAAACCATTTTGTAATCTACTATCTAACTCTGACTAGTCATTAAGGGTTTCTGCATAAAGAAGTAAAATTAAGACACAATTTGTCAGGAGAATAAGAGGAACCACTTAACGTATTTACCTCTAAGCAAACTGTTTCATAAGAATTCTAGTGATAGTGAAGCTGAGAAGCCACATACAGGATTGCCAAGGTAACCTAGAGATTAGCAGAAGTAACTATCCCCCCAGGCTGGACAAAGGAACATGGCATTGTGACTTAAGCCCAGAGGCACCTGGGCAAAGCTGGAAGCATTAAGGAACTGTCACTAAAGAAACACAAAATGGTATCCAAAGCAGAATGTGCAGGGGAGAAATATCCAGGGATATTTTGGGATATCCCAGAAGTACAGGAACCTGCATCAACCTTGAGCGACACAGGGGGAAAAGGTGCAGAATGGGCCATGTGCCAAACAGGCCCAGGACATGCATACAAACTGGGAAGATTTTTGAGTGAGGAAATGTTTATTATTTAAATATAACAGCTACAGGCTTTGGAATAAATGCCACTGTTCCAAAGGTTGAAAGCAAATACTGACCCATTTTCTTATAATACCTAAAATTTTTCAAAGAATAAATAGAACCACAATCCAAAATTGAAACTGTTTCATAGTCCTCAAAACGACCTGAGAACTACGATACCTCAATATTTTCCCTACCTGCTCCATAGCACCTAGTGGTTACTTGCTTTATATACACACCAAATAATCAACACATTTTTTTCATTAATTGAAGGTGCATGACTTAAGTGCTGACAGTTTTATTCTTCAGTTTTAAAATATTTTAAAAATATTTATTTATTTATTTTGGAGGGGGCAAAGGAGAGGGAGAGAAATTCTCAAGCTGACTCCATGCTGAGCAAGGAGCCCGATGTGGGGCTAGATCCCATGACCTGCAAGATTATGACCTGAGCGAAAATCAAGAGTCAGACACTTAACTGACTAAGCCACCCAGGCACCTCTGACAGTTCTATTCTTCTTAACCTTAAAGCACTTAGAGGATATTGAGGGCTGGAGCCATTGTGAGGATTTCTACCATATTAAAATTGCAATTATCCTATTGTTGTGGAAACTGAATCTTTCAGAAACTAAAATTTTCAGAATTGCTCATCAAGCCCATTCTGAGAATGGATACAGTTTGGAAGATGGAAGATAACACATTATAAGAAAAAGAAGAAGAAGAAAAAAAGAAGATAATATTAGGCAGGGAGAAAATCTGGATAAGCTGTTATGCCAAGAAACTTTGTGCATTCATCAAACTTTTTTATACTCAATAACTGGAGGTTAGCTAAACAAACTCCCCTGGAGCCTAGAACCTTTTCTTCTGGCACTGCTTTCAGGATTGGGGAGCCTCCCTCCTTCTTCGTTGCCTCCCACTTATATGAATAAGTACTACACGCTTACCCACTCTTTGGCTTTCGTTTTCTCTCCCTCAAACTTTGGTTTTTCTTGCCTTCCCTCTTCCTTATGCCTACCACATGCTGTGCTACAAACTGGTAGCTTTTATCTTCTTTTCCTTCTCTCCCCAACTCCACCTCCCACCATGGCAATTTATGAATACCCACTTCTCTGGAAGAAACTTCCTGAATTAACATGAACATCGCTTTTATTCTATTCTTGAAAGGATCCAGATGCACCTGGGCATCCTTTGCCGCTGCAGCTTCCCGGGCTGGATGTTCCTGCGGTTTTGAACTTTCTTCTTGCTCAGAGTGGAAGATGACTCAAATTATTCTATGGCTTGGGCCTCATGTCAAATACATTTTCACCCACTTGTGTCTCTTCACGTTGTCTTCTAAGACTCCAGGCACCTCCTGGCCACTGTTGATCCTCTCTTTATGTAGATACTCCAGTCATCTTTTGGCTTTTTCTATGATGTCAGGATGTCATCTTCCCCACTGGCTGGCCCTGCAGATACAGTCTAGCAGAGTTGATAACTCCATTTGACAATGCGTCCCCCTGCTCATAAGGAAAGCTGCACCATCGACTTCATCTTCATGGGTCACAGTTCTATCTCCAAAATCTGCTAGTTGTGATACCTATGTTTTATCCATTTTGTGTCTTTATTCACCATAAGACCATGTGTCTGCAAGGGTTAAAACTAACTTTAAAGTTGCTCTCCTGCTAATGTCCAGACACATTACTGTCTCTTTTAGACAGCATAAAATTGATCAGGACAGAAAGATTCTTTTCCTGGATGTACTATGCAGTTGCTCTGTAACCTTGAATAAATTACTTTACTTTAAGGATTATAACAACTTATCCATTGCACAGAGGTGTTGTGAAGATTAATTAATTCATGTTTTTAAGGTGATTTGAGGATCTGCTAATGAAAAATGCTATATAAATGCTAATTTTTATTATTAATTCCCACATCTACATATTTTCTTTCAGCTGTCTCCTAAAATGGTCACCATAAGCAATTACTATTGAACTCTTTTAAAGAATGAAAATGAGGAACCGAATTTTCATTCTGAATCCTGAATTTTCTTCCTTTTCAAGATGTAAGCCTTGTGATCTCTAAGTTATTTAAATGCAGATCTTTTGGCTGAATCACAGTTATATATGATGCTTATACTTAATAATAAGGATATGGAGATTTGGAAAATTGCAAACTGAACAGAGGAACACTTGGAAATTTAGTCTATTGTTCAAGTACACACAACCTATACAATATCAAACCCAGAAAGGATTTTAGGCTTTTAGATGTAAAGCATTTTTATATTAAGTAAGATATTTTAATGCAATTTTATTCTAACCCCTTTAGCACATTTTAAATAGTCATTCTATAGAGAAGACTCATATGGTCATTATGATTTTCAAGTAGTACATCAGAATTATGATTACTCATGATGTTATATTATTATACTCACAACTCAGTGAAAATCCTTTTGAAACGTTTGTGATTTTGCATAAATATGTAGTTTGTACTTATGTGGCCATACTGTAATAGACCTCCTAGTCTCTGGGATACACAACTTAGAAAAAGAGAAATAGTAGTTATTCTGCTAATTCAGAAGGACAGGACACTTTTGTCTAGTGGTAGTGAGAGTTCCTGCCACTCTAGAATTAACTTGGCCTCACTGTCTCATGCTTTTGGTTCTGAGAGATGATTCATCTCAGAAACCCTATTCTGTTTAAGATTGATCTAGAATCTAGGGATTTATTCTAGATCCCATCTACTTTCCCATTTTTCCCATCTAGAAGTTTCTTGATCCAGTTGGGAAAAAAAGTCACAATCACACTACTCACCAAATTGCTCTAGCCTTACCAGATCTCTCTTCATGTTTACCTACTAGAAGGAATGGGTTTGTGAGGAGAAAGGGGGGACAACTGCCTCTGGGCACTTTTGAACACTAGAACATATAATGATCAGCATATTTCTGATGGAAAGGGTAAGCAACCAGTTATAGTGTCTTTCTCACATAGTGTCTTATGAAATGATCTATCATATTAAAACAATTCACAATACACACAAAAGAGTGCACGTATTGCATTGTATACTAAAGACACATTGTAATATATCAGCAGTAGGTTTACAGCAAAATTTCAAGGTACAAAATATAAAAGTCACATACAAAACAGTAACATGATATGTGGAAATAAAAAAATAAGACACATTCCTTAGATCTTACTTGATTGATTGTAATTTAATATGAATGATATTGACAACTGTTGACTATTGTGAACTTCACTTTATGAGTAGAAAAGAAACTGAGGGGACTTTGCTTTTATAGAAAAGTCATGTGGTCGGACCTCAGAGTCCTGACTCTTAATCGATCAATGTTCATTTCTCCCAAGAGTTCACAATTTAAGATAAAAAATTTTACTGGTCGTCATTATGCAAGGGCTGAGAGCAAAACATTTACTCTGAAAGATATTGATCTAACATAAAAATAGAGTTTATAATCAGAGTAATGGAAGACTCCACAGAAACATTCCAATTTTTTTTTTTTTAATGGATGCCTTCACACAGAAGATCCAGATTTGGGCTTAAAATGTAATACCATCCAGGAGCTATTTTAGCCACCAAAATATTATCTCTGGTACCTGAGAAACATCAGGAGGACCTTCTATTTTTCATCTTTATGAGTGTTCTACTTGGTTCCCATTTGAAATAATTATGACTGATATCCTTTTAAATATAGAGGGCTCCTTTTTCAAAACATGATCTTGAAAAAGAGCATTCTGATGTACCACTGGAAAAAAAAAAAGTATGTCTTGAATCTTAATCCCAACATGCCAAAAATTTTTGGATGATACATAACTGCAAAGAGTCACTCTTCTTCCTCAGTGTCATATGATTCAATTTCTTAAATATCAAATATTTCAAATATCAAGAAAAGGTTTATTCTATTGCTTACCTCTAATGAACTCATTGATATCGTTGACCCAGTTTCACTTCTTGATAGTCCTGCATTATCATCCAACTCAGAGGCCATGAAATTCTTCACAGCTGTGCGAGGCTCAAAGGGCAAATTCTGCATATGTTCCTGGGGTGCAAGGTGTTGATCTAAGTTCATATTGAACTGGTCCATGACAGGTGGATTCATGTTGAATTCCGGATTCACTTTGTAGTGCAATAGCCTTTCATGTGGCAAGGTTTCCATACCAATATTCATTTTGCTTTCCTCTTTCATTGATGGCTGGGTATTTACAGAACTTCTGGGCATCACGATATAGTCACTTTCCATCATTCTTTCTTGAGGATGGACTATGTCCATATCAGCTCCTCTCAAATTGTCATCGGTACATAAGTACACAGTTCTTCGCAATTCACTGTTTTCTTTTTTCAAACACTGATTGCCCAGCTCATTCATACTCATGGGCATATGCATACCCGTGGGTTGCTGGATAATGACTTTGGAAATGACGTTTCCAGGCAGTGTGGAATAGCTAAGCCCTTCAGGATTTGTTCCCTTTTCTTCTTCATCATCATTTAGAGAAATCCTAGAGAGTGTTCCTGTTATTGTTGCTGCTCGGCAAGGACCAATATCCTTATGAAGAACTGTAAATTAGGATATACAAATTCATAAAAGAAAGTTAATGTGTTTTTATTTTTTCACTACTGCATTTTGCCATCTTTCTATGAAACAATTTCCTGAAAAAATTAAAAAAATAATATTTAAAACATTATATATCTATTGTTTGTATATGGCTCAGATTACTCAATCACTCTTTATTGATTCTGACATGCCTTCATAGATCTCAGGTAGTTCATAGCTAAAACATATCTGAAAGTTGACTAATGGACTTCCAAAAATCTCAATACTATATGCATAGCTTTCCAGAGGAAAGACAGATACCAGAGAAGTTTCTCCATCAAGCTATTGCAAAGAGTTTAATGAAATCATGGATATATTTCACATGAATTTGACTTTCTCTCAAAGGCTTTTCCCCTAAAGAATTCTACAAGTTCTATTCATTAAAATACTTCTTGAAAGAGGTAATCAATGAGAATTTCATCCTACTGCATTAGAAATTCCTCCAAAATTATGCATGTTGAAAATTAATGAGCATTTATCTGTGAAGTCCATATGGTCAAGGTAGATACAGGGTTCAAAAGTATTTACCATCTTCAGTTCCATGTGGGGGAAAAAAAAAAAGAATTTCTTTACAAGATCAATCCATATGCTCGAATGCCCTCGAGGGGGTATTAAAATTGCCACTGATTTTAAGCAGGAAAAAACTGTATGAGCTTCTGAAAACTCTATCCAATTTAAAGCTTGAAAAATAATGACTTAGAAAAATTCAAAATGCATGATAACTGGCAGTAAGGGGGTGGTGGTGGAAATGAAAACATAAACCAAACCAAACCAAAATAAACTAACAAAAGAATTCAGAATTTTTAATTAAAATGTACTTTAGCATTTTTCTTGTCTCTATATGAGAAGAAAGTCATATTTAATAGATAATAATAGAATGACTTGAGGAATGCTTAGCTGTAAACAAATATCAATTTTGAGGTAGGGAAGAATGAAATTCTGAAGAAGTATTCTTGGTAGTTTTGGTACTGAAAGAAAACAGAAAAGCACTGTGTGCAAGGTGGCTTAACATGTGCACTTAACTCTCTGCTCTACCTACAAAGCAGAGCAATTGTTGCCAAAAATTTCTTTAGGCAGATGACTATAAAATATTTAGTTTGAAAAAAAATATTTAGTTTGTTGTTTCCTAATGAAAATTTCAGATACATTGAATTTTACCCATTTTTATTCAATTTTCCAATAGCATCATGATTATTCATTAAAGCAGAGATTAAAAAAACAGATTACATCTTTCCCAACTACAAAGAAGACTTCAAAATGATTTCAAACATGCATCATTCAAAAAAATGCATCATTCATGGAGTATCTTTTATCTTTAGAGATACTGTATTTCATTACTGTATTAGGTCTCTTTATTTCAGACACTAAAAATCCTGTTAAATCTGTATCTACATTTTTTTATTAATCCATAATTTGGTTGTAAGTTTTTGTATTTATTATTTTAAAAAGCAGAATAATTCAATTAAAAAAAGTTATTTCCCAACCTCAGATCAGTAATGAATTGCAGTTGCCAGAAAAAAATTATCTAAAAACATTACAGGGCAAAGCATGTTAAATTAACAGACTTAATGACATTATAAATAAAATACTTTAAAAAAACCTCCAAATTCAGGGAAGAATATTTTAAATCTTTAACTGCATGCAAAAACTAATCCAAAATTTAAAGCAGTACAATTTAAAGGCCCATTATGGGAACCAGTCACATTACTTTAAGGACATACATAATTTTATACTTTTATAAATATATTAGAAACTATAAAGTCAAGTTTGGTACTGAATATTGATTTTATTGTCTGTATTTGTACAAGATATGTTTATTTTGCATCATTAATATGATTTGCAGTTAGAGTTACCATATTTTTATCACATGACACAGCTATCTTTACTGAAAAATTGTGTATCTTAAGTATTTGGGGAAATATAATTCTTATGAAGTAGTGTATACTCCATATGTGAGATATGTCTGCCTCTTGGACTTGTTTAAAATGGATATCTAAATTTTGAATGGAAACATAAACAAATTCATATCACTTACACATACAAACATGATGTTGAAGTGATGAGACTTTTATGAGAAATTACGTTGTAAAAGGCAAAATGCAAACACAACACAGCAAGACAAAAAACGCCTATATATTTTGCATAATCAGTATATATTCCACCCTTTGGGAAAGTGAATTTCAACAAAATTTGGAGTCAACAAAACTCAGAGTCCATGAATTGAAGCTTTAAAATTGAATTGAACAGGAGGCCTCTAGAAAAACTCAGAGGCAAGCTCCTGATGAGCTGAGTTAAAAAGGGCACAGACAAAAAAAATGAAAACACCACAAAAATATTTTCCAATAAGATAATGGTCCTGGGCTGTATTAGGAGTACTAAATCCCAGAATGAAATGAAGTCTGGGGAGATGGAGTATATTTAACAAAAGAGCAGGCTTGGGGAGGATGGTCTAATACAATGGTTCTCCAGCATCACATGCATCAGACTACCTGGATGGCTTGTGAGAACACTGATAACTGTACCCCACCCCACAGTAGGTCTGGGGGAGGGCCTGAAAATCTGCACTTCTAACAAGTTCCCAGGTAATGCTAACATTGTAGGTCTGGACAGAACCATTTTTTTCCTCTTTTGGTTCTCTATCAAGAAGAACTGTATAAAGAGTACACCAAAAAAGGCTGAAAGGAAACTAATTAAATGTAGGAAAATAGGAATTAAATGAATACCTAATTATTTTAAAGAAAGTCAGGCTTCTGGACCCCAGACAAGTCACATCCATCTTAGAATACAGATGTAGAACCTGGCACCATGGCTAGTGATCTTTGAGAAATTATGGAGAGCAGATAGAGCAAAGGAAAATGTTTTATCAGTTTTCCAAAAACAGAAGTGGTAGACTTTGGAAACCAAACACTCACAAGATTGTTTCTTAGCAAAAAAAAAAAAAAAAAAAAAAAGATTGTTTCTTAGCAATATTTCTCTAGATATTAAACATGAAAGAGTGATTCCTAATACCCTACCCCCAGGCCTACTATGGGTTGCTAAGTTATGACAGTTTTTCTACTACTCTGCTATGACCATACTCTTCATAGAGTATTTTCACTGAATTCAGAAATGAGAATATGAACTTAGTCTCTCATTGTCTTGTGATTATGACAATTCTGTAATCTCAGAGCCTGCAAAGATGTTTTATAGTTATGAGCTGAATCTGAAAAGTATACTTAAAGGGAATCAGTGTGGGGTGGGTGGGAGGTGCCCTATAACCAAAGCAGGGTTCTATACTCACCGCCTTCCCATCCAACTCCTTTATTGACAGTTTGAATAAATATTTAGAAGGTATTCTTATCAAACTTTCAATACCCAAAAAATTTCAAACGGACAGAATGCTAACCTGATACTAGCAAAATAGCAAATAGAGATAAATGCAAGGCTAGATTTTTCTTCAAGGAAAAAATTCCAGAACCTTTAGATAATCCTCTGCCAGTAAAATTCTGACAACTACTAAAAAAAGTCTTAGGGATTTCAGATGACAACAAATTGCAAGTAGTAATGTACCAGGTGCTATGAAATGAGATGCAAATGTCGATAACATTAATATAAATAAAGAGCCAACTGTGAGAATTGCTGACATTTGGGCACAATCTAAAAATTATTAACAAATTGGAGGCTACGTGGGCGCCATGGCTGCTCAGGAGGGTGCTATGAGGAATAAATGAGGAACCACAGTTTGGTCTGGAAAAAAACGGCTTGGATTGGACATTTGCCTCCAAACATCTGGATACTTAGATGAAATAGATAGCCACTCTTATTCTAGTAGGCAGCACTAAAGTCAATGAATACAAGGTAAAAATAAGGTATATTATATATTCCAACAGAAAGAAGCATTTGCAACAGCTGGAATTATCCAAAAATGAAGAGATTCCTTTCAAACTCTTGAGTCATCTACCCCGGGTGAGAATTTAGCCCCAGACTGAGGACAGACATTGTTCCCAGGACCCCAGCCCTCTACGGCAGAGAGTGCTGCATGGTTTCTTCTTGGGCCCCACTAAGAATGTAGCAATGGCAGCAGCTATGATACACACAAACACACAGGATGTACTTCAACCTTGCAACAACCAATATTCCACAAATGATGAAAGTGAGGCAAAAAGAGGCCAAACTGGCCTTACACCTGACAACCAGTAAGCAGTGGAGCAGAAGTCTTACGTTTCCAAGTCCTCACTTTTCTGTTGTCACTGTGTTTCCTATTAACCATTCTTAGTTTCTCTGCCAATCCTCATTTTTCCTTCACCCCCTACTCTCTCCCCTCCACCACAATTTGCTATTACAATGCTTCCCTTTGAAAGGTTCTATTTATTAATCTACGTGAATACGTGATGTGTAAACTGCAGCACTGTCTTTAAAATCAAAATCATAAAATGATTTAACATCCCTAATGATATATTTTTTAAAATTTTTATTTATTTATGATAGTCACACACAGAGAGAAAGAGAGGCAGAGATACAGGCAGAGGGAGAAGCAGGCTCCATGCACTGGGAGCCCGACGTGGGACTCGATCCCAGGTCTCCAGGATCGCGCCCTGGGCCAAAGGCAGGCGCCAAACCGCTGCGCCACCCAGGGATCCCCCTAATGATATTTTCGAAATCCAAATATTCTTACCTGATCGACAGGCAATGTCTACATCCTTTTCAAAGTCTGTCTGTAACAACAAATAATAAGGTATAGGATCACCATTTAATGAAGACCTCAAGTGACTTTTATGCACTAGATTAACTGAAGTTTATAGATATCTGACTAGGCAGTACCAGATTATTGTTTTGTGTAAAAAAAGTTTCTCAGGGAATAACTGAATTGTTTTCATGCCTATTTCCTAGAGACCAAATGTTGAATTAAAACAATGGAAAAATGGTATAAAATTTTAATAAAGCAATACATTACCCATTGTCATCTTCAGTCAGGAGACTGACACCATATATAAAAGGATAGAGTTTCAAGGCAATTCTTTAAACCACAATAAAAAAACTATGTGCATGATTATGAACATATTTAAATAAATGTCTTTGCTATTTGTATTTGTAATATATTCACTTTGAATATATTGTTTATAATGTAGTATCTTATAATACAGCTTTGTCAAACCCTTAATAGTCAAACTAGGCTCTTCTAATGATCCATTTTCATTCAAATTGACAAAAGACTTTTAGAATTAGGAATTAAAATTGAAGATAAAACAATACTAATCTGGTCTACAACCTGCTATCATCCCCATATTTCCCACAAACTTTTAAACGATCAGTTAATTTTTTTAACATTAAATTAGTCCATCTTAATCGAGTTCTTTCAGTCATATACTGGAAGATATCATTTAGAAATTCTAAAATTTATTTTATATTTTAAGTTAGAAATTTCAGTATTTATTTGTTTCAATACAGAGTTGATAATTCCTTCTCAAGCCTGTTATTAGTATATCATTTCAACTATTTTATGTTGCCTAATCCAAAACCATTCATAGTAAATTGAGCATATTGTAAAAGAAATTTCCATTTAAGCCCTGCTTTTAATAAATCATAGTTTGAATTTTAGCTCATTTCTCAAAGACACCGAAGTGTTTATGTCTAAAGTATCGCTTAATCTCAACAATTGAGCTTGTATACAATGACTGACCTTTGATTGGAATTGTGGCTATGCCCTTCTACCTTAGGGCGGTGGTTCTAATCTTGGGCTGCATATTGGAATCACCAAGACCTGGGTCCCCACCCCCTCCCCAGAGATTCTGATTTCACTTGTCTGGAGTGTGGATTCTAATGCACAGCCAAGGCTAAGAACCATTGCTTTATGAACAGAAGTGCAGGTCCATAGTGTTCTGCCCTGTAAACATGCTTCCTGTGGATAAATTATTTTCCCTCATTCTGTGCATAGGTGCAAATATGCTCTGGTGTTGCATACAAACCCCACACTCAACACATCAGGGGGCCAGTAGCAGATCCAGGACTCCTAAACCATCGAGACAGAATGGTTATCCAGTATCTATAAATCTGTTAATGAACTAAAGCCAAAGTCACTCAAAATGGGACTTGGATACTATTTTAGTAGTAAGAATATTTTTTTTTATTCCTGTCACAAATCATGACTTAAATCACCAATAAGAAAGAAAATAAAAGCTCACCATTATTTGAGCGTGCCCATTAGGAAAAGAACTTGAAGAATCAGCATTGATGGGATCCTGACAGTTTCTCAATCGGCATCTAAATGCATCCTGAACCTGTAGGAGGGGAAAAAACCTATTAATTTTCTTCTCTCTTGGTAATGACCAGATACTGTCTATATAGGCAATCAACTTTGAAATGGTAACTCTCATTGTTTTAATTTAATACCCATTTTATTTACTTTTGTTTACTTCTTCACACATATACTGGTGACCCCAGACTTGATGTCACAGACATTTATCACTTGCCATAATCATTTTTTTAAAGATTTTATCTATTTATTCATGAGACACACACACACACAGAGAGAGAGAGAGAGAGAGAGAGAGAGAGGCAGAGGCACAGGCAAAGGGAGAAGCAGGCTCCATGCAGGGAGCCCGATGTGGGACTTGATCCTGAGACCCCAGATCACGCCCTAAACCGAAGGCAGATGCTCAACTGCTGAGCCACCCAGGTGTCCCCACTTGCCATAATCTATAGGGGAGAGTGCTGGGAACTCCTCAGTTTTCACCAGGGCTGCATCTGGCTGAAAATCAGTAATTCTTGCCAGAGGGCAGATTTATTTTCACTGCTACGAACTATGTGTACGTGTCTTTCAAGGGGGATTTATTACTTGGTATGGCATCATCTTCATAATAACTTTAAACATTGTGGAAATGAGATTACTCAATGATCTTTTGACTGGAATGGATTTGGGATTTTCCCTTTATGTCTCATGGAAGAGATCATACTGGGGAAAATATTTCTTGTCTCCCTTCAAGTACTATGTGCCCTGTTGTAAAAACAACACACAATGAAACAAAAAAAAGATAATACAAGTGCTTTTTCTGGTTGTCTTAGAAAAGACGAAGATCACTTTGAAAAGCCAAATTTCCTTAATAGGCAGTCACAATTGGATTCTAAGTAAAGACACACATATCACAAGGAAATTTGAAGAACATTAAATCCTTTATTAAACAAGTGAGTAAACACGAATAAATGAATAACACACAAATCAACTGATAGCTATTCTGATCATATGATGCCTTCATATTATCATGTCCTTTCTACTTCCTGTGGCTCATTAGGCTCCTAACAAGCTATTGACAGATATTATCACAAGTAGCTTCTTATCCCAGTCAATAGCAAGGTCATTTTATTCGTATTTTGTTGTTTTGACTTCACAGGACTGATACCCTCCTTCTAGTTTATTATAATCTGTTTTATTGGATTAAAAAACAAAGTAGAGACGATGTTGCATATCCCCGGTTTTACTGAAGTGCCATCATGCAAACAACCACAGTAAACACCTTAATGAACTATCTTTACTTTTGAAAAGCACCAACATAAAATATCCTGTCACAGTTCTGCTGTAAGATGTGCATAGTATACATATTGGCCAGAAGAAAACTGAGCTTATTGTTTTCAGCTCCTCTCACCCATGTCATAAGTCATTATTGCAAGATTTGGAAAGTGACACAGGATTTAGTCACTACCCCAGAGTTCTGGCCAACTTGTACAATAAGGAGACCTTTGTCAACTTCTTTTTCTCCAGGATTCATGTTCTAATCCTGATGATATAGCCACTAGAGCTGTGAATTTAGGGAGCGGAGGATGAACTCTTATCTCTTTTCTATCCTCTGATTCTAAATATTTCTAAATCTGAGATTTACTGGGAAAAAAAAGAATGAGGAGTTGCCTGATCTAAATGAGCAAGATAATTTCTTCTTTTTCCCTTCAAACACATCAATACAAGCATAGACTCAGTGAAATTGAGTCTTATCATCTTTTCTTAAAGAACTGAATAAATATTTAGAACTAAATCATCCAGCTTATCTCTCCTTGAAGGAGACAGAACATGGAAAAAGTTAGATTCTTTAGATAAAAATGCTCCAGGTTCCTCCTTTTTCAGTTAAGAATAGCTATAAGCCATAGAGTGACATAGTAATAATCAAAAATTGGTAATGAGTCTAGTGTCTGCCAGATGATTACTATTTGCTATACAGAAATCTACTCTGGGGAAAAACACTAAGAAAAGGTATCTGTTTGCAGAAAATGAAAAAATCAAAAGAACTAACGTCAGAAAACAGGTATGTGCTAATTTTCTGTTTGTGCCCCAAGGCAACTGTTAAAGCAGCACAATTTATAAAGGTAAATAAATAGTATGTTAGAAATATTGCCTTCTAGGATCCTGCCTGTCACATGAAGACTTTTTTTTTTTCAAATCTATTTCTAAATACTAGCATATATAACATATGAAAGTGGCACTTGGTAATACTAAACATTCATTTAACCGGTCCACGCTAACAACTATTTTCAGACCTTCAGAGTGTAGCTGTCAAGGATATTTTTGTCTGACAATGAAATATCGAAAAGCAACTTCTGTTAAATTTCTCTTCAAAATTCACTATCTGATTGCTTGAAGGAGATATAAAAGAAATCTAACTCTTTTTTCATAACATGCACATACAAAATCAGTACTTTAAACTACCAAATTCCCAAATATGACAATGGATTAAGGGCATTTCTACCCTAGAGAATGATGTCAGCTTTATGAATCAGTCAAAGCTATTCGGAAGAAACATAAAACAGAAAAGCATAAAAATTCTTCAGTAAATTCAAAGTCATTTTAATGATCATATAAATGCCATAATATAAGTGCTAGATTCTCTGACACATTTAGTGCTACTATTACTTCTAATTCAGAAAGTTTTGCAGGAGAAATTCCACTTGATTCCAAATACTCTGTTTGATTTTTACAAAATCTTAAAAATGTATTCAGGCAATCTACATGAATTAGTTTAACTATTTGTCCAACACTTTCAGGGAGGAATGATGAGGCTAGATTTCAATTTTTTTTAATTTTTATTTATTTATGATAGTCACAGAGAGAGAGAGAGAGAGAGGCGCAGAGACATAGGCAGAGGGAAAAGCAGGCTCCATGCACCGGGAGCCCGATGTGGGATTCGATCCTGGGTCTCCAGGATCGCGCCCTGGGCCAAAGGCAGGCGCCAAACCGCTGCGCCACCCAGGGATCCCGAGGCTAGATTTCATAATGAATATTTCTCAGCACAGAAAAAAGGATTTCAGGAGGTACAGTACCTGGAAAATATATCTGCAGCTATTTGGAAACATTTTGATAATTAACTGGATTTTCTATCAAGTAAACAAAAAGACTTTTATCTTTGGTGAATCAGTGAATTGTGTTAATGGAGAACAACTGGAATTTTTTAAAAAGCAAGTCTACAAGGACCATAATTCTAGACAAGAAGAAAGCATAAAAAACAAAGAGCCTATATTTGGCTATTCCATACTGACACTAAAATCTTCTGTGCCAATTGTCATATTTACAGTGCAGGACAATAATAGTCTTGGTGTTTCTTGCCTTGTGGTTAAGATTTGAAGAAAAACAATTGTTGAAAGATTTATATATTTATCTTAAACTCCTTCACCTGACTTAACTATTTGTGGGGAACAAGACACTTGTTTTAGGTAACAATTTAATTAAATAAGTTTTTATATAACTCCAAGCTCTTGCAATATTATCATTTTAAACTTACACTAGACCAGTACACACATTTTAAAAATAAGTTTGTCTTGAATAATTAAATATTTGACATATTACGGCACAATTAAAATCTAGCCTCCAAAATGTCCTCTCTTTACAATACTCCATCAAGAGGTCTTTAACCTTAATTGACGCCAGACAAAAGATTTAAAAGTATTGAGGAAGTAGCAAAGAATAGCTATGTAAATAGTCTTGGAATATTTAGGGCACTTTAAGGAAATCTAATGTCATGTTGGGAAATGAAAAGAGAATGTCAAGAAACATCTTAAAAAAACAAACAAACAAACAAACAAAAAAACAGAATAAGCCATCAAGGCTATCTTCTGAAAGTATCCAACAGAGCCACCACCAAAGTTATCCTGACTAGTTCCTGCTGGGGGCTGCTCCAAAAACTCCTGCAAAAGCTATCCATCTTTTTATTGTGGATGGTTTCCTGGGTGAGACATGAATTCAAAGAAGTTTGCAGGGGTGTGTCTTGCTTCCGTCTCCCTCCACGGGAGAGCGATCTGGTTCCTCTCAGGAGCAGCAAGCCCAGTTTCTCGGTTGGTCCTGACTCTGAAGGCAGCTGGCAGAGTGTCACTGCGAAAGTTGGTGCCAGATTTAGAGATTGCTGGGGAAGAGCACCGAGCAATGTTTGGCAGTGTTGCAATTTAGAGAAACCTCACGGAAAGAGCTGCACAGTGTGAGATGGGCTCTGTATTTAGCTACCGTGCAGCTCAGACCCCAAATCTTTACCTTTTAAGAAGACAGTTTTACTTCTAGATATTCTTGATTTCCTATTCCAGAGGATCATTTTAAGACAAGCAAGAAAATTAAGTTACATCCTTATAATTATTTGAGAGTGTTAGCTGGGGGTGGTGGGGCAGGGAAGGGAATTTCTTATGCATTCTATTTTTTTTTCCTGGATCTAATGTCTACTATTGTTTCTATGGATTCATATTAAACAAGTGATTCAGCTCTTTTTAATCATATTAAATTCCGTATAATTTAATCATTAAATGAACCAGTAAGATTATTCTCAATTTCATGTGTATCATCGTCAATTGACATAAATAACACAAATGACTTCACATTACAAAAGTATTACATGACTTCTCTGATAGCAAGGGAAAAAATGGGTTATCTTTTGCTTTACATGGAAGGAAAATATGGACTTCAGTCCTAACAACTAACAACTTTCTCCTGGAATCTTTTAACACCAAAGGACCTATCACTTACTCTCAAAATTATAGCCTTTTCCTTTTTTAAATATCAGTTTTGGGGGTAACATAACGCTTCCCTAGAGGGTATTTCACATATATGATCTGAAATAAAAATGTAACATTTCTTTAGCATGCAAATTAGAAAAGGAGGAAAGGAAATTCTATGTCAGACATTACTACCACTTATGCCTTCACAGAAGATACTTCACTTTAGCCTCATGACATCCACTTTAAGGCAGGAAATAAAAACTTAATTCATGATTTCTATTTTATATTTATTTTAAATTTCTATTCTAGACATAGTCAA